TAATAATTTACAAAAATTAAATTCACATATTGGTTTAATTTAATAATATTGATACAATTGATAATGGTGTTATTTGATCTAAGTTAAACTAGTTGACGTGGCCATTGATCATATTGACGTGGCATTGATTTACTGACGTAAAAATTGAGATTGTTGAAATTAGTTGTTAAATTATACAAATGATCTCTATTAACTCATACGAAATTTAAAATTTAGTTTTTATACTCGTACAAACAAAACTTAAAAATTTAAATCCTTATACTCATTCAAAATTTGAAATTAAATCTCTAATATAGAAAATTATTTTGAATTTCTTTTAGTTTTTTTAAAATATTAAATTTTAAAAATATTTTGGTTCTTTTAATATATTAGTTTTTATTATATATAATTAATTATTAATAATATCATATTAATATATTATTATCATTTATATCTATTAATTATAATATTAATAATTTAAATTAATATATCAAAGTAATGTTTATTAATTAGTGTAAATATATCATATAACAAAATTTAAAATAAACCAAACTATTGAATAAAGTTGCATTTTTTAATGAATATGAAATAGACTATAAATAAAATAATCATTCCATCCATAAAAAAAAAAAAGATTCAAACCTAAATGTTTTGCAAGGGACAAGCTCTTATCCATTTAAGAACAAACTTTAAATTCTTACAAAATGAAAAAAATGATTTGTTTGGTAAACATCAATATTGTGTATCATAATGAGAACTTATAATTTTTTGGATTTTCACAAAAAAAAACTTTTTTAAATAAATGATATTAAATTAAATAATAAGATTAATTTTAAAACCAATATATATTAAGTTTAGTAAATTATTTTAATATATTTAGAATCTTGAACTTATATTTGATTATAAAACATCATTTAAATAGGATTTAATTTAAAGTAATGAAAATATTATTTTATGGATAATTTGACTCTTATGGGATGTAATTATAAATTGTAATTCATTAGATAAATTAATAAAAAATAATAATTTTATTAAAAAATTAGATATTAAAAAATTTGTACCATATATTAACAAATTTGTAATAAAATTTTAATAGATTGGTTTAAGAGTTTTTTTATTAGCCACAGTACGCTACGATTATAAAAAAAAAAGTGTGACAAAATTTGCAACAAATTTATGTTTTATGACATATTGTGATAAGAAATAGTAATAGAATTAGTAATAATATTTCACATAAGTGATAAAAATTGTAATAGATTTAATGATAATATATGAAAATTATGATTAAATATTATAATAGAATTTTTAATATTGTGATAGAATATTATAAGAGAATATTGAAGTAATTTTTACAATTTAATATTTTAAAAATCAAGAAAATCTTTAAAAAAATATTTTTGTATTAAAGGGATTAAATTTCAAATTTTGTGTGAGTATAGGGATTAAATTTCAAATTTCGTGTGAATATAAAGATTATATTTTAAATTTTATATGAATATAAAAATCATTTACATAATTTAACAACTAATTTTATTAATTCTAATTATCACATCAGAAGTCAATGTCATATTATTAAAGTTAATGGTTATGTGAATATAGTCAGTGACTACGTTAGCTAATTTAACAAAAATCAAGTAATATTATTATTAATTGAATCAATATTATTAAATTAAATTAATATGAGAATTTAACTTTTATAAATTATTATATAAAGATTAAAATTTAAATTTTATATAAACATAAAGACTAATTACATAATTTAAACTTTTTTTTTTAAATACAAATCCGACTACTAATCTTACAATAGGCCCCATTTAGATGGCTAGTTACCGTCAGTGAGAAGTGATTATATCCTCTAATTGGACTAGCCGTCCATTTGCGTTACAAGATATTTTATGTTTTCATCGCATTGGAATTGTTTTTTAACTGGGGCTCAAGGCTCCTGTGAATAAACTTGCCGCCCATTATACATATTTTTCTTCCAATTAAATCCCTATTTTCTTTTATTACCTTTAAATCTTTTCCTTTTTATTTTTTTGTTTTATTTTTATTTAAAATTTTAAAATAACTTCGCTAATTTAATTTAATAAATAAAATATGATAATTGTATAATAAAAATAATTAATTAATAATTAAAATTAAATGAATACTAAATTTTATAATCAAAT